GGAGATAACTGATATATAACAGAAATAAACAGAAAAAAGTATACATTAAAAAAATAAACTAAATAAAAGACAACTACATTCATAGTGTCAGAGATGAATGATATGCAGGAAGAAAGTGTCTAACAAAATAAAGAGGACCAAAGAGACAAAATATAGAGAAAACACCAATGGAACCCACAGTCTTATTTGTTACATCTTAGTGCATTCTCCTATCCTATTCTTTTACATCAGTTAACTTTTAAGAATGAAAATCAAGTTGTCAGGTTGAGTCACCTTTATTTATATAGCGCTTTATACAATACATATTGTGTCAAAACAGCTTTACAGTGTTAAACAGGAAAATAATATGTCAATAATGTAGGAGGACAATAGTAAACTTTCCATTTTTCAGTTAAAGTCAGTTCATTGTTGATTTAGTGATGTCATCATCCAGCTCAGTTCAGTTCTCTTCAAATAGCATCTGTGCAATCAAGCCGACAATATTGCCAGAAATTAAGTGTCCCCAACTAGGCAAGCCAAAGGCAACAGTGGCATGGAACCAAAACTCCATCGGTGACAGAAATGGAGGGGAAAAAAGCCTTAGGAGAAGCCAGGCTCATTTGGGGGACCAGTTCTCCTTTGGCCAGATGAAACCACCATGGTGTGGTTTAATTCCAGGCTGAAGCACAAGTCAAATTGTGCAGAGGATTTGTCTGGTTCTCATGGTCTTGTGCCAATGGCCATCTAGTTGACAAGGGCTTCGCAGGAGATCTTTCTCTAGGGCTCATCAAGTTGACATGGTCTCCGCTGAAATTTAGGGCTGTAGAAGTCATCTCTAGGTGATGATCCACCATCTGGTCTGGATACAGACTGGATCTAGTTGACTGCAGTGACCATCTAATCTGGATACAGACTGGATCTGGGTGGCTATGGTGACCTCGTAATAAGAATGAAACAGACTGATATTAGCGTAGATGCCATTCTTCTTACAATGTGGCAAGTACATCCTAGGAAGTGTTCCTGGTTCCGGTTAACCTAATTAATGCAGCCTTTAACGTATTTAAATTAAAGAAATGTCATGGTGTGTTATGTGTATGAAAGGTTAAAGAGATGGGTCTTGAATCTAGATCTAAACTGACAGAATGTGTCTGCCTCCTGAAAAACTCTAACTAGATTGTTCCAGAGTTTGGACACTAAATAGGAAAAGGATCTGCTGCCCGCAATTGAATTTGATATTCTAAGTCA